AGAGAGAGAGAGAGAGAGAGAGAGAGAGAGAGAGAGAGAGAGAGAGAGAGAGAGAGAGAGAGAGAGAGAGAGAGAGAGAGAGAGAGAGGGGTGAACAATTCCAAAAGAGTGCTAACTATCACAAAATGGGGTTTGAACGGGAAAAAAATAAACAAAACAGAAGACCGGACTTGGTCAAGGTGGCCTGCATGTGTTTTGGTGGTACCGTCCGCAGTCATTAAACCAGTAATGAGCTTGAGCTGAAGAACACCGTTAGGGCATGCATACACTCACACTGGGACTTTCCGACTGAATCTTAGCTGCAACAGCGGTCAGATGCAGACAGGAAAACGAAATTACAATGACCAAAAAAAGGGGGCAAAAGTAATCACTGTGACACCAAAGAGCACCAATAAAGGAAAGAGAAGACCAAAGAACTGAGAGAACGCAATTAGCTTGGCACATACACAGAAGTAACCAGTGAATAAGAATGCGCTCTACCACCCTGTCATTTTCAAACGACAATCACATATGATCTCCCTTTCCCCAACGTAGTGACCACGTGAGGCCCATATTTCTCCACTGGGACTGTGGGGGATAGTTACGGTACCAGGCCCTCTCAGGCTGGGCAGGTAGGGTCTGGATGCTGTGGTGGCCTAAAGACATGTCAAGCGTGCCTCAATTGTTGGGCCAAATTCGGCCAATACAATTAAATATCATCTGCTTTTCTTTTTTGCCCCTCATACAGGAAATATTTAATATTACGATCTCAAAAAGAGAAGTACACGAGAACAGAAAGAGGACTCAAGAAAATGTAACCGCCCACCTTTAGTCGGTTCATCAAGAAGAATGACAGGTGGTCTTCCCATCATCGCAATGGCAATGCTCAGCTTCCTTTGGACCTGCACGCTGCAGTCCGACACTTTTCGCCCTGCCGCATCTAGAAACACAGAAGCACACCACCACCATTCCTCTCCACAGTCAGAACGCGACTGTTGGGCCTGTCGGATATTTTCCAGCGTCTGAAAGATGATGCCCTAGATTTCTGAGCTCGCAAATCGATGGTTAGTGGTAATTGGATTTGGTCAGTGAAGAAGAGCCAAGGGAAATCAAAGTTCATGAAACTGAAAAAAAAAAAAAGACAACTTCATTAAAGTTAAACTGGACAAAAGTGGGAAAAGGATATATAATATATTTTTTTTGAATTGTTTTCCCTTTTCAACAACACAGGCACTCATGCCCCTTCTTACGAAAGATAGAGAATTGATTGACAAATCGACAAAATGATTTCTTCTTGACTTGTTCATTAATACTATTCATACCCACATAGTGCCTGTGTGTTGTTGAAAAGGGAAAAAATTGTAGGGAGAATTGGGTGCATGGGTCCTAGGGACCATCTCACGCAAATGTGTACATGTCATGCATCAACTTCACACGCAGTGATCAATAGTATCAACCATAGACAAAGGTAGAGAAGAAGAGGACCGAGTTTCACAACTTATATTATCAGAAATATGAATACAAAGTGTTTCAAAGTTCCCCTGAGTCCAGCGCTCATCAGCCCAACACCAATCTCTTATCAACTCATCAATATGGCTTCCAATGTATCAGCGCTACATCTGCAGACAATCTCCAAGTCGTCAATGTGGTCACTACTTCTTCAGCGCCACCTCTGCAGGTCACATTTAACCCAGGTAAGTATCTTCCATAGCCGAACCTTGAATGAACACTTTCAGCCTCAGTCCCTTCCTCCTACGATGCATACACACTCTTCACTCATGAGGATCTACTCTGGATACTACTCATAGCTACATACTAACCCACTACTACTAATGCTAACTTGCTGGGCAGCTATGGCTGCATCACTTCCATCATACAGGCTTCTCCCTTCACTCAGCGCATCTTCTCCTTCCAGCGCTGCTCCTACTGGCTCAACGCACAAGTGCACCAGCACTTCCACGCATAGAATGCCAGTGGAGATCTGGCGAGGAATGAGGCTGGCTGCCTCCTTTATACTCCTCGCTGGGTCTGCGTTGGCTCAAACCAGCCTTCCTTTTGTCCCAGACCCTGCATTGCATGTGTCCCAGTAGAGTCCCAATGAAGTTCAACTGCTGCTGAGGCCTCCCGGCCTGAATTTGGACTTGAAGGTCTGGATCTGGACTGACCCCTAGACTTAGACCAGAACTGGGACTGTGCCTATTAACTTTACTTTCGGACAGGCACAACTTTCAACGAACAGACACATTTACTGCTTGAGCAGACACTTTACTTTGCACGAACAGGTACACTGCCTGCACGTAGAGACACACTCTTACCCGAACAGACATGACATACACATCTCCTCGTGAACAGGTAAGTCTTTTGACAATGCCCTTTACCTTAGCTTTAGATATGCCTGTTGATAGAGAACTTGACCTTTGACCTGCTTTCACGTTTCTGAGCTCTGGCGAGATACCTTTTCACAATGCTTTATTTTTTCAAGGCCCGTGCTGCTTTATTTTTACAAAACCTGAGGCCTATATCGGGTAAAGGCCCTTTTATGGGCAAAAAATTCAGCACATATCATCTGGATTAATAGTACCCACATAGTCAGCAGTTTTGGCTACATTCATGATTCAATGCATCAGATGATCACACTAGGCAGGTCCAATAATGAATATCATATTAGACCACAGTAGATTGGATGTACATTAAAAAGAAAGAAAGAAAAGAAAAATATATATATTGGATGGACATGTACCTGTGAGTCCCATGCCCTGAATTGCATCCTCGACAACAAGGCCGATTGGTTCCTGAACGCCTTTTATCGTAGCATACAGCTCCAAGTGCTCTTTCACAGTTAGTGAGCCGAAAAGGACCTGAGCGGGAGGGCGGAAGCACCAACCACCAAAACACCAACCACCAAAACACCAACCACCAAAACACCAACCACCATAGCCAAAGGACAGCCAACGTAGTCATTCACAGACGTACCTGAAGAATGCAAGAAGAGACAGAGAGCATGTAGGCTTTTTGAAATTCCACAAAGAAAGAACTGGAAAGGGACAGGGTTGCATTCAAAAGAAAGAGCATAACAGAAACATGAAAAATAAAAAATGTTTTGAGGAATAAAACCTTCGATACATCCACAATTTGATGTTCAAAAACTTGTGAAGTTCAACCAAAAAAAAAGCAGGAGCAAATTGGGCAATTGCATCTGTACCCCACTTAAAGATGAGAATAACCGCTATACCCAGTCCCAAGCACATGCACGCTGAGTAAGATTGCGAAGAGAATGGGCCTTGCCAAATGGCACACAAACGAAAATGAAACAGAGTACATCTCCCCACGAAAGGTGGCAAAATAGAAAAATAGTTAAATAATACACTCTTGCTATGAGGACCCATAGTACCTGCCTAACCCGAAAGGGACCAAGTAATAGGAAAGCACTGACAATCTCATCAGTAATCGGAACGGAGATTTCATTCTACGACATAGAGACAACTCCCGCCAAGTGGGAATTTAATATTGGATCTAGCAAACCAATGAACCTGTCCATTTTGTGTGGGAAGATGTTTTTCATTTCGTGTGCTGTGCGGCGACACCCAACGCCTGCACAAGGAAGCACTTGGCGGAGGAGCATGACAGGAAGAACATCTGCACATGACATCCGGTCACTCCAGTCGAGCTCCACTGTTCTTACAAACACTTGGTATTATAATACACACATACGACCGCCATCACCGATCTTCTTTCTAGATTGAAGGGGCAAGTATTTGAAATACAATCTGAACGGGTAAGTATTTTAAATACAATCCAAGTATTTTTCATTGGATGAAAACATAAAAGTTGATAAAACCCTCAAAGGTTGTTCTTACCGCCTTTTCACAACTGTGTGGGCTGGGAAAACCAACTTTTTTAAAACCCTCGCGGTTTCCTTGGGGGGGGGCAAGGGGCAGGATGTAAGGGAATGACACAGGTTTGTGAGAGAAAACCCTCAAGTCTCAAGCTTGGGGGAGGAAGATGCACTCTTACTTATAATTGTTTTTTTACTTTTTATTTTTTTTGGGAAGACTTGGGGGAGGAAGATGCACTCTTACTTACATGTGTGTTTTTTTTTTTGGGAAGACAATGCACTCTTACTTACAATTTTTTTTTTTTTTTTGGTGGAAGCAAAGATGGACATTACCTACTGTTGTGTGTGTGTGTGTGTGTGTGTGTGTGTG